TAATAAAAAGCAGAATCATGGCTGAGTTCTGGAAGTCTTTGTGTTTAGCTTAAGTACATGTGAGATGTCTACAGGGCACTCTGATATCTTAAACAAAAAGTGCTACTTACAGATCGTTAACACAATCTACCTTACCATTGATGATACACGTTCAAGCAGGTTCCTTAATTCCAATCGGCTAGCATATGAGTATATATCTGAATGCACATATGCATCTGAAGGCACAGGGGAGACTTTAGCACCAAAGCAGTGATGACATCACTGAAGGCCAAAGAGCAATTAGTATCTGAGTGGTGCCACAATGCAACACATGGTTTACTCATTACATACAGTCTAAAGAATTCTTCAGGGGCTCAGGAGAAATCTCTTTTTCTTCTGAAAGAAAGAGAAATATATATTCTGTACATACTTTGACATATTTTCCGTGTAGGAGATATGGAGCCTGGAAATCATGCTGACAGTTGGAGTAAGCCATTCCTAATCCCATGCCAGAACCGAAGGCTAATGGCCACATTCTTCCTAGTGAGCAGAAAAGGGAAAATCCCAATAGGGAACTATTAAGAGAAGATAAAGCTCCCCATCCTCTTAAATACATTTCACTTAGGGTTCAATAAATATTCAACATGCATCATATTAATGACTATAATAACCATACATTTTTATCAATGTTTCATTAATGGCCCAAAAATGAGGAGGTGTAAATTAGTAAAGTTATTAATTTAGCAAATATTTGTTAAATGCCTATGCTGATAAGTTTGAGGAAAATTAGTAAAATATGAAAACAGTAGATAAAGCTTTTAACTTTTTTATATCAGTTCTAATCATCTGCTCGTTTTAACTAATTTCTTAGCCATTAAGATGCGTGAATTCTAAAAAGATGTAAGCATTTTCCCAATATTTACAGACTTTGATTATAATAGTAAGTCATGCGGTTTACTTAAGCCACTCTGTACATGATTCTTTCATATCAGCACTATGTGTCAAGTATGATTCTCTAGTCAAGTATTTCCCACTAGTTCTTCATGAAAAGAGGTCAAAATGATCCCTTAGGCATCTATTAAATATCCAAACTTCAGAGGTTCTTCCACAGAATGAAAAGAATATTGCCTGCCTTTTGCTTAGGAGAATTTTTGATCAAGAAGTATGTGTATTTCCGGTCTACTTGTTTCTATTACCAGCAGGATTTGCATTTTCAATTCCTCTAGAAAAAATTACAATTAATTAGAAATAGTTGAGCATGTAGACTTGGCCAAATGACTCACTGGCATCAAGTACGGGCTTCTGCAATGATATCATATTTAGGATAACAGGCTCCCTGCCTCAGTGCCCAGGGGGAATACTGGAACTGCCTGACTCATTTCGACCTCTTTCAAGTCCACATTCTTTATCTAACTCATTTTATATGGCCTACCTAACCCCATAAATGGATGGGTTCCAGTGTGTCCCCTGGAAGTGTCCCTACTACATACACATGTACACTATAACATCGTGTTGAAAAGACAGTAAGAGTCACACTTACTTTTAAAGAAGGTAAGTGAGAAAACAATTCCTAATCCAAAACCAGTACCTACAAAGAGAAAAAAACATGACAAATCTCATAACAGTAACTTCACAATGATAACATTAACATTTCTTAAATGTAAACAGCATAAAACAGATTTTTTTTCATAATTTGGTAGAGAATTAATTTTCTAATTTCTAACTGTCTTTATTTGTCAGAGGTTGTATAGATGCCTTTGGTTCTCCTGCCCAGCAGGAAATAAAAACTTGACTCCCTATTCTGTCTAGACAAGTTGCAGGGTGTGGGGCAGGGGAACAAGCCAGGAGACTGCTCTAGAGTCAACCCTCTCTACACTGGCAAGTAGCCTCCAGCATCCTGCGCTCTCCTACCAACCTCAAAGAGGGATACCACAGCCAAAGTGTGAGATAGTGTCAACAGGAAGCTCCTTTTGTCACCTTGGCACTTCGAGTGATGGCTACTTTTTGAGGAGGATAAAAAGCAGAGATCCAGAACAGTTCCTAAAGCCTGTGCAATCAAACAAGCCAGAACATCTAGACAGAATAGAAAGATGTCCCTCCAGAGCCTCAGATAAAGAAAATGACTTGCCCAAGAATACTCTTTAGTTAGCTGCAGAACAGTGATCTGGGCTCAAGTCTGTCAGACTCCAATGCCACTGTACCCACCATGTCCAGACGTTGGATTCCTCTACAGTTTCAACCCCTAAATGATTACTGCCCCTCAAGGGAAATTGGAATGTTAAGATTTCTACTGCCAGTGAAACAACAGCCAAAACATGACTGTGCTCCCCATACAGCTCAGAATGCTAGACAACCCAGTAGTAACAAGTCTTCACAAAGCCAAAAGGGCCTGTTCAGATTCATTCCCAGACTAATCCTACTGCACAAGTCACAGACACAAGAATCTGGTAGGTGTGATTCAAGAACCTCAGAGACATGGAAGCCATTGATACTGATACCTTGACAAGCCTCTGCTGTTGCTTCGTTTATAAAATGGCACAGGGTTCAACTTTAAGGAGACCTGTCTCACTCCCTGCAGCTGTAAGATGAGTAAGACAGAATTTTGGTACTAGAAAATGAGGTAAAGGATTTGGACTGGCTTACAGATTCCAAACCAGGCAATGGGATGAGGAGATAGGCCAGTAAAAACATAATGGCTTACAATCAGAGCTTTTGCTCTTCTCCATCTGGAGGCAATTTTTTTGGCAAAGAAATCAAAAGCCCCAAAGGAAAATATTTCAGCATTTTTCTTGTCCCTCTGACTCCATGCCTGTCTCTTCTATTCTCCCCCAAGGAGAAAAAGCTCTCTGATGCTCAACTTTTCCTAGCAGTAGACCAAGAATGATGCTGACTCCACTGCTAACAGTATCACTCAATCAAAAAGATGAGCAATGCTTCCACATCAATCAATATCAAGTAGAAAATCTTCAATCTCTAGAATTCAGAAATATGCCCAACCACCCAGTTTTGCTCCTATCATAGGCATTTACCTGCAAGTATAAATATGAAATAAAAATCACAGTTTAGACCAGCAAAAAGGAGTTATCAAAGAATGTGCTCTATGGTCTTAGCAGCCCAATTTAACTAACTAGGCTACTATGTCTTCAATTCTTAAGGGTGATTTTTCCCTCATTTCTATATTTTAAAGACAAAAAGTAACAAGACCATTCTCTTCAGAAAAAAAAAAAATTCAGAAAACAATTTTTAATTGCAATGTTTTACTTAAAGTTAGCTATCTCAGTTACTTAAAAGATAAACAATGGGAGAACCGCTGATGAGTTTTACAGATTCAAGTTCTCACATGCACAATTCTCTTTTAAAAGGCAACATGTTGCTTCAAAGAAGTCCCACCTGATCGGGGGACACCAACTCTGCAGCTGTTTCCACTAAAGATTGGCACCTCTAGGCCAGGTTTAAACTTCATAACAATAAAACATGAAAGGTTTGTCTTACAATAAAAACAAACCAACATGGAAAAGAGAAGAGTTTTCTCTGCCCTTGGCCACTTTTTGTTGTTGTTGCATGACAAGCTCTTTTGAAGGAAAAAAGCCAAAGGAAAAAGTACAAAGCATTTTTCACCCTCCCTGGAAGCAAATATTTAACAATGAATACAGTTTATATAACTTTGCCTTCCCCAACTTAAGCCTGTTCTCAAAAGTCCATGCTGTCTGAAATGACAAATAACCCTAAAGTAAAGAAATGCCTGATTATAGGTACACATCTTCTTCATGGCAAAGACCAGTTGCGGGCGTGTGGTGGGGGGTGGGGAACACAACAAAGGAGCCTTATGGAATTAACATTAGGCACAGGGCCATGCTCTAAAACCATGTCTTTTGGAGAAGAAAAAGAATTGGCACATATTCCTCTAAAATGAAATTACTCCGAATCAATCTAACCATGCAATTTAATGCATGCTTAGTGCCTGACAGAACATCATAAAACCAGCTAGTAGATAAACTTACATTTTAAAGGAGCAATTCCTTAACATTTCATCGGATGCTATTTTGGCAGTAAAAAGAACAGAGAACTCTGCGTTCATGAACTATATATAGAATACTGATAAGATACATAAAATAATAGGCCTTATCTTATGCCTAAGAGAATTTTACAAATTTAAAAGGAGAACAACCAATGGAAGCACAGTAATGTACACCTTAAACCACCTTTTGGTAAGAAAAGGGGGGAAAATGTATGTTGTTGGCCATTACAGTTATGGACAATTTCTAGTTGCTCAATGCAACTTTGTATTTAGAAAAATCTTTGTTCTCACCATGCCACAGATCATAAAGCTTTACTTCACTGCATATAATTAGAAGCAAACATAATCAGCAGGAATTAACAAGCAGGCTATAAAATCTGATTGCAGTCTTTGGGTAGCAATGTATTTTGGATGTTAGCTCCTAATAGAACAAGTTGTAGTCATATATGCTCCTGTACAACCAACTTTGCAATTGCCTATGGACGTTCAATGAAGGAAGAACAACTCACTGAAGAGAAACAGAAAAAAAAAATACGGAAATTCACTTTGAAACATGTCTATAAAAGATCACGGGGAAAAAAAGACTATAAAACTATTTGATCTATCAATAACCTATGGCAATTATTAAGACCTCACTTCAGCTTACACATAACATTTTAAACAAGGTTCCTATATTCATAAGCCTAAGGTATAGTCATCAGTGCTAAATTTTAATGTACATCTAAAAGATTAAAATAGCAAAATAACTCCATTTTATTTTGTGTAACTTACATCAAGATGCACAAGCAAAAACCAAAAACTTAAGTACCATATTCACTGGCAGTTCACAAATATAAGAAGCTATAGGAATTACCAGTCTTTAAGATCCTAGAAGCCTTGTGCAAGGCAATTCTTCATTCTTACATGTCTGAAAGAGAAGATCTAATTTCCCAAAAAATGCAGGATGTACTCTCCTGCTGAGTGAGTGGCCAGAGCACTGATGCCGCAGCAAGACAGGCTGGGCCCAAACCGCTGCTCCAGGCCCTACAAGTCAGCTCTAAGTCAACCCTGCCCAGCCTCAACCTGTTCATCTGTAGAGTGAAAACAACCTTACAGTGTTGCTATATCGGAAAAATGGAAAGTCTCTAATAGTGTCTAACACGGAGCTCACTAAGTGGAAGTAAGTTCTGCCACCGCCCTGATAGAAAATGTCAGAAGCTTAATATAGGCCGCGTGCAGCAGCTCATGCCTGTAATCCCAGCACATTAGGAAGCTGAGGTGGGAAGATCACTTGAGCCCAGGAGTTTGAAACCAGCCGAGGCAACATAATGAGACTGCATCTCTACAAACAACAACAACAAAACATAATAATAATAATAAATAAAAATCAGTCAGGCGTGATGGTGCATGCCTGTGCTCCCAGCTACTAAGGAGGCTTGGGTGGGAGGATCACTTTAGCCTGGGAGGCTGAGGCTTCAGTGAGCCATGATCATACCACTGTATTCCAGCCTGGGCAACAGAGACCTTGCTTTTGGGGGGGAGGGGGGGAAAGCAGGGCAGGGCACAGTGGCTCACACCTATAATCCCAGCACTTTGGGAGGCCGAGGCGGAGGGATCACGAGATCAAGAGATCGACACCATCCTGGTCAACAAGGTGAAACCTTGTCTCTCCTAAAAATACAAAAATTAGCTGGGCACGGTGGCATGCGCCTATAGTCCCAGCTACTTGGGAGGCTGAGGCAGGAAAATTGCTTGAACTCAGGAGGCAGAGGTTGCAGTGAGCTGAGATCGTGCCATTGCACTCCAAGCCTGGGTAACAGGAGCAAAATTCCGTCTCAAAAAAAAAAAAAAAGTGTACTACAATAGCTAATCCTTTATTAAAATACAACTCACTGGCTGCGTAGGATCACACTGTGGATGAGCCACAGCTGAAAATCAGAATAGGTTTTTTCCTACCCTTTGCACAGTTGACTATTTAATCAACTTAAGCAATTTTTCGGTGTGTGTGTATAATTTTTTAAATAGAGGATCCTTTCAGACTTGACTTACTGCTGAACTAGACCATTTTGCTTTAAAACGTAATCAATATTTTCCTAGCGTTGTCTTGTGTCTAATAAAGCTGTATTTGTGCTTTGAACATGAATTTATATCAAATTGACCTATTTATAATGGGCATGCTTCCTGTTCAATCATGTTTCTGTCAATGCTATTACAATCACCAAATGCATGTGTTGTGACAGAACAAACAAGAATGTGCTTTTATAGAAAATACTCTTGGAACTTGGTTTAGTGAGAATTACATTTCCAGGACACATTCCTGATTTATGAAAGATGCTCAGGGCCCCATTAATGAGGGAAAAAAATAGTTTTAAGTCAGCTTCAAACTGTGTTACTTAATCCTTTGAGGAAAAGACAGACTGTCCCAGGTGTCCACATCTAAATGCCAAGTCATGTGAATTAACCAAGAAAGTGTGCCAGACCAAAGACCCAGAGATGGTAAATTTAGTCTGTATTAATCAGCTTCTTAAAAGTCAACATTGCCACTGGGTATTTAGGAAACATACTAAGAAGATGACTATTTTACAAGACCC